GTTCATAGTACACATACAGCGCTACTTTTCACCATCGTGGTATCGGTGGTCTGCTGGCAACCATTCCCATCAGTTTCAGGTGATGTTTTGCGTCAGATAACTGATTCCATCCAAAAGGATAGATATCTGATCTTTTCTTCTCTCCTTTTTGTTCTTGGTCGTTCATAGACACATACAACGCTACTGATTCTTTCCTCCGCAGAGACCGAGGAGAGACATGGAGATTAAGGCTACTGCTTCGGCCACGGTGCTGCTCCTCCTCCTTGCTTGGTGCTGCAACGTTCATGTTGAAGCACAGGTGCCGATCCCAGCTAAGATTGATGGGTTTGTGTACAGAGGAGCTCCTGTTTGGGGGCACTCAGTGGTGGTGGAAGCCTTCTTTGATCCTTTATGCCCTGACAGCAGAGACTCATGGCCGCCACTGAAGAAAGCCCTGCGCCACTACTCTGATCGCCTCTCGGTCGTGGTCCACCCCTTCGCACTGCCGTAACTGTTCCCTGCTTCTTCTATCTTCTGCTCTTGTTGGGGTTTCGTTCTTGTTCTGCCTTCTTTGTAGCCATGGTGGAATCAAAGACGAGCAAATTTAGCCAAATGGTTTAGCTTTTCTTGGGTTGATTCTGTAAACCAGCTAACTAAATCATGATTTAATGACCATTAATTGATTTAGCTGTCATGAGTGTGACAACAGTGTCATCTCCAAGACATGGAATGGGATCTTGGAATCATCAATCTTTTGCTTCCTTATTCTTCGTCCCCCTTTATTCCTTGCATAAAAGACCTTTGTATTCTGACTTGTTTTGGGTGTTGCAGTTACCACAGCAATGCTTTTATTGCTTGTCGCGCACTTCACATTGCCAATAAGCTCAACGCATCCTCAACATACCCACTGCTGGAGCTCTTCTTCAAGTTTCAGGTAAAAGTCTTCGATACACAATCTTATATAAGAAAACATTTCTTCTCTGTTCATCATCAAAGCAAATGAGGGATTTGGATTCTCTTCTCGAACTTAATGGTTAATCAATGTATGTTGCTGTGATCAAAGCCTGCAATTAAGCAGCATATTCATGGAAGTCCAGTACTTCACTATTTGGAGAATTTTCATTAGTGGTGAATGATCTTAATAAAAATTTAATTCTCGATATATTCGTTGAAGGTGGAATATGATGGTTCAGAGTTGGCTGTTCTTTGCTGCTCTCTTCGGTTGATCCTCCGTGACTTCTTTCACATAACAAAAATTAACTCATCTACAAAGCCTCCCCTTTTCGGATTTGGATTCGAATCAAAATTGAATCTCAAGAACATTAAAGTCAATGTTGTTTGAATTAGCTTAACTTGTATTATGAACAACTCATTCTTAGATACTTGAAATTTGTTATTTCAGTAGCCTTACCATCTTAGCAAAGTTGGAATTTTTTGTCTTGTCAGGGTTAATGCATGTTTCAGATGACAAATCAGCATTTGTGCTGCTCAGCTTATTGAATTCCTATGCTAATCAAGTGTATGAAAACAGGAAAAGTACTATAACCAGCCAACTTATAATCTGCCAAGAGCTTCCATAATCAAAGACATGGCTCGGCTAGCGGTTGCAGCTATCGGCAAGAACTCGTTGTCGACATTCCTATCTGGTTTTAATGACACAAGAACTGACTCTGCAACAAGGATTTCCTTCAAGGTGAGTATGCATAAGGTTGTGTGAGTGTGCGTATGTGTTTCATTATTTCCAGGCATATGATGTCCATTGTCCTTTCTTTTTCTTTGTCCTTCCAGTATGGATGCTCAAGGGGAGTGACGGGCACACCTTTCTTCTTTGTCAATGGAATGCCTCTATCTCAGTCTGGCTCAGAACTGGCTTACAAGGAATGGAGAAGCATTATTGATCCACTTCTAGAGAGGCAAATTTAGATGGTGAAGGAAATTGAACTTGTTTCAAGATTCAATAAGATGTTGGCAAGGAAAGGTGGAATGATCTTTCTAATTTTTGCAATAAGAGCTTGATGATGAACTACTTGTAGAACATACTAATATGTGATTTTGTGGGTTATTGTTTTAGTGGAGTAGTGTGATTTATCAGATTTGTATTACAAATTGAGATTAATTAACTCATTATGACATCGTGACATATCCCATCTTATAGTCGAAAATTTATTGTTTATTGTGTCAATATAAAAGAATTGAGATGTTCATGTTTTAATATTTAACTAATGCTGCATATTCTTCCCCTATTATCTTTATCAGTGTTATTAGTATTATCATGAACAATTTTATAATTTTCAATATTTATATTATCATTTTCATGGTCATAACAAACATCATTTGCATGATTATTATTATTATTGTAACGTTGTGAGACCCTTAACTTTTTACTAAGAGTAAAATCTCGACTTCAAGATCCATTATCACAAACATAAATTAATATTCATTGTAATTACAATAATAATTTTTATAAAAAAAAACTAGAAACAATTTCTAGTACTTATA